CGCACGTAGCGACAGTATCAAACGATCCGGCTCTAATGCTTATTGGTTTTCCTAATTATTACCAAGCCGCGTTCCGGCTATTGGTCGGATCGTTCGTATGTCGCTTCATGCACAGACCCGAGGCTAACCGCATCCGGCGAATATAGTCGCGGAGACCTAAAGGTTCAAAAACAGAATACGAAGACGCTGTTTGAAATAAGATACTCTGAACTTTATAAACTTAATGATAAGACGTCGAAAACTTATTTGCTGTTTGAATTGTTTTCTCTATAGCGATAAAGGGCGCATAATTTTATCTTTAGAATTAACTGGCCGTGACTAGGACGACGCAATGAACGTCTTCTGACGCGTGGAGTATCTATAATAATATAATAAACCAAAGTATCTATGCGCGTATTTGTGTGGAACGTGGACGAGTATGCGTGCATTGAGGGAATAAAAGAGACAGTTCTGACTGTGAGAGTCAGTCGGGAGCAGTCCCGAAACCGAGCGCGTTATTTAATTCACCTAGAACTTCCAAGACACCCTCTACGTACGTTGGACTAACGAACCCTTAATTACTCGTGCACGTGACACACACGACCACGTAGTGACACTCAGGCGTGAATAGAGATAGAATGAGACGACATATTTTCCTGAATCCTCTCTTCTTATTTTCGAAGAACTTGATAAAAATAAGACGTTTGATCAGACTATTATATCGTTCGAGGAAAGTTTATTTCAGGAGGCATACAATTTTTGAAGGGAATACAATGTTTGCAAGGAATAGAAACGCAAGGACTTTGAACAATTCTCAAACTTCCACTGAATACCTACATGAACTTTAGACTTTGTACCCTTGGACCGTCGGACTTTTGAACTCTGACAACTTTGCGTGTTAGAACTCTACAACTTCGTACTTACGCTTAAGTTATGTTCATTAAATATTTAGTGTTAGCAAATAAGTTTTTATTTATTTGTTATATAACCTGTTTTACCGATTGTACGGGGGTCTTAACAGACGCTATAGCGTAGAATCCATTCGATACGACGCAATCCAACCTGAAAATCCAATCACCATTCGGAATAGCTGAGGGTTGGAAAGAAAGCTGCTAGGGATAGAGCGGTAAACAGTCCAAAGGAGCAACGAAAGTATTTCGAGCAAACAATCCGTGTCGATTACGGGTCCGACCGCGCAGAATACAAAGAACGCGTCGCGACAAATAGAGAATACGAAAACGAATACGAACTGGTAGCTAGCGTTCGAACGAATTAGAGGGAACGATTTTGTACGTTTTTAGGATCTGCTGGTGTCACGAGCCAAATGCTTGTAATTGTTAATATTAACATTTGAAAACCTGCTCGATGGTGACCTGTTATTATTGTTATAGTTAGACATAGAAATATTAAATAAAACGATGAAAATTAAAGAACTGCTGAGAAAATCCAGTTAGAGTCTGTAAACGATTCTAATCAGGCGGATAAGTCATTCGGTCGATTGTCTTCGTTATCGGTGGCTGGTTCAGTGTTACGAGCGGGCTAACGCTAGAACCATTGGAAGCTTCAAAATGAGCGGTTCGTACGTTTTCGTAGAAATTTTATGGGTTTAAGTGGGTTTCCGAGAATGTTAATCGTTCGACGAAGTGTGTACGTGTAATTCGATGGCTAAGGGCCGTAGTGTTGACTTTTCAAACATTCTGCTAATCTTCTTTTCTAGAATAGCAAACGAGAAAAACAGATGGTTCAGGGATTAGAAAGTTAACGTATGCAACAGCTTAGTAAACGTTAATTGATAGGAATGTTTAGAGAGCGAGTTACCTAGCGAGTCCTTATAAACTTTTAGAATTATCGGACGACAAGTGGCAAAAGAGAAAGAGAGAGAAGAGAGAGAAACAGAGTAATCAGGAGTTTGAGGAGATGGGTACACAGGCTGCTCGTTTGGTTACCTAATTCGTTCGAAGTTAAATTCCCCTCGCACCATGTTCAAAGTGCATTCAGCCACCATGCGATGCGGTTGATGGCAAACGGTTAGAGAGATCCATCTCTGATTTGGGTCAGATTTGTTGAGGTAACAATACGCACGTTCCTTCTCCATCCGCTGCGTGTACACGGTTCTATCCTCTCATTTAGTCATGTAACAAAATTCCTTTATGTCACGACCCTTCTGTTTCCCAGCATCTCATTGAGAATTTGTGGAGTATTTTCATACCAAAATTGGCTATTGCGTACAGTGAAACAAGAGAGCGCGATGATCGAAGGAAGAATTGGAAGAGACGAAATGTCGACATGTACATCACACGCAGACAACCCTGCAAAACAATTTCAAACAGCCGCATTTTCACGAAACTCATTGCACAAAAGTTGGCAAATATTTAAATACACTTGACAAACACGTAGTCGATGAAGAATCAACACGGCAAAACACAACGTAAATATTGCACAATCTGTCCTTTCGTTTTTTTAATTCCATTGCATCTGATGGAATAATTTTTCAAGTTCCATGTTAATCAAGTTTACCTTCAAACCACGGAACGTTCGGTTTCACCACGCAACGTCACCGCCCCTTTCGCACAATGAACGCCATTAAAGCTCCAACAAGACGATAAAACCGCGTCGCCTTGCCAATTAAACCATCGCGGAATCGATTATTCGCGCGTCTATGTATTACGCGTAACTATGGAGGAACATGGGTTAGGAAAAGGTGGTAGAAACTGGAAACAAAGTTGGAAGGTGCATCGCGGAAGGCACACATCGAGCCGTTTAAAGTTAGCGGCATTGTCATACGCTGCGAAACTTTTGCAGCAAGCCGGTGAAACGCAGTTACGAGTTTCCGCGAGTAATTACACTAGGCGTGTAATCGCGATGCTATCAAGAAATACAACTTGGCGCCATCGCGTCCTGCTCAATTAGCTGTTCGCCAACGACAGCCAACAAGACGCGGATTCTCTCTGCCGTTATCCGCGCTTCATCCTACATCCGCGCGATTATTCAAATTGTTTCGCCACGTAGATGAGGCGACGTAGGCTGCGTCTTCTGCGTCGCGTCGATTATGCCGGGTTAATTGGCGTGTCAGCCGAATGAAACAGGCTAGGAATGCGACGCGTGCTTAGAATTATCCCGGTTCGTAATACAGTTTTAATGGGTATATGGCTTTCGAACAAGAACTCGTGCGCCTCGAGTCGCTGTCTCGGCCTCGTAATTACACTCGTTTCATGGATTAACCTTGTATGTTAGCAGAAGGAGAGCTTCTCCGGTCTTCTTCGTTTTTACCTCCTTTCTTTTTTCCTTTCGTCGTTCGAAAAGTTTCCAGTTTACCCCGACGTAATTAGTTTAATTAAAGCTTCACGCGCTCGAGTACCGTGCCTGTCAGAGTCTAAATGAACACGTCCCCTGAATACGTTTGCCTCGGTGTTAAATTGCCAGATATAACGTACGGAATATACCTTAAGCAGGATCTTAAGGCGACAGGAAGCTAGTGTAACATTGATTGTAACTCGAGATCGGATATCCAGGTTACACACCGTACATATATCCAACAGGAATTAACACGGAACAAGAATACCATGAGAGAAACAGGGGAACTAAGGGCAAGTTAGACGTTGGCTAATGCTATTCCAAGATGCGAAGTTCCCTAGCTTGCCTAGTTCCTCTCTCATTCGCTTCTATTTCGTCGCTCTGTATTGCCTCGGTAACGTGGCTCACAATCTCGAATACTCCTTTCACGCTGACTCTATATCGCCTGTGCGTATCTTTCGTCGATAGAAACTCGATCGTGTGTATATTCAAATGAATTCCATTAGTTTCGATATGGTGCAAATATACCAACATATTGTAGATGATATTTATATAGTGAAAATTTTCGATGGAATTTTGCGTACACAGCAAACATCGGGATTTACACACAGTCTGGACAGAGTTTTCTTTCGCGAATTTCTACTAGTGCTTCGCTAACAATGTTGACGACCCGAGTTTCCAGTATGCCAATATTTGACCAACAACCGTCTATAAAAATCTTCGCAAAAGGAATCAAGGATTTTGTATGAAATAAGTTAGACGCAGCGCGGGCATAGTAACCGAACCTGTGGAGAAACTTGTACGTCGCCTAATGCTATTGTAAGAGGCAAAGTTTACTCGCTTTACCGTCCCTTCTCGTCGTATATCTCCTGTTCCATTCTACTTCCCCCCAGAGTACGGCTTCCCCTGTCCGCAGGACACATGCGGTGTGTTGCTACTTGAAACAGGGGCCATTTCACGGTATCGCGTCACACTCGATAAAACGGATCGCCGCCTGTGTATAAAATACACGGTGAAATGATACGAGCAGATATAAAGCGTCGAAACAAGTTAACTTTGAATCGCTGTGGTGTGGTTGAAATTGCTGATAAACGAGCCACAGGTCAAACTGCTCGACTCTACTTTCTGTCAGTTTCTCAATTTCATTACATAAGTACACGATTAACGTTCGAAATCATGAAAGAAAGAAGCAAATTACTTAGTTCCACGTGTTCATTTATTACAGCAGGACGACGTTTTAAATAACGGCGAGTTGCAAAATAAATTTAGAAAATAGCGTTTACAGCATCATCACTTTCCCCTGCTTTTCAATTTATGAAGTTGATCAAGCAAGTGGGAACTGAAAATGGCTAGATGATAAATGAGGCGAAATACGGGGATGGTCGCGAGACCGATAACTAAATTTAATTAAAAGATAGTTTCAACAATAAATCACATAAAAAAATTACACCTCGTGTGTTTCCTCTGTGGTCTTCGTTTATGATCTTTCGAGTATGTTGAACAAAATAAAATCGCACGATCATTTCACGAGAAAGAAAGAAGTACAGGCCATGATGGATACAAAGGTAACCCAGAAGTATATATAGCCAACCATATTTCTTGAACTCTTCTAATTCGCAAACAGATGCAAGAAAAACCGCAGGAGATTTCAGAACCAAGTAATATGTTACGTTGAACGATAAATTCTAGAAAGACATTAATTTTCTCCTTTTGTTCGTTTGCTGCAGGCACAACGATCTACCATGGAACATACGCAAGTTCCTGAAGAATCAGTTGAGGGAATTCAGGTTTGATGACCTGAGGGATACCCACCCTTGGTCGCGGAGCGCCTGGAGCCACACGGATCTCAGAAGATTGAAGGAGGGTATGGTTGCAGCGCAGGTGAGCACAATAATAACCGCAATAACGTGAGCTCCCGTGAAAAGGCATTAATCCAGAGGTACGTGGCAGAGATGTTTCACGAATCGCGAAAGCGGACGATATATATTTCGACGGTGTCCGTAGACAATGTCCAATTACTCGCAGTACACCATATCGCTACATCTGTCTGGTTCTGGCGCGCGAGACACGTTTAGCTGGAAATATTCTCGAGAAAAGGGCACCCTCGTGAGAGAGTCGATGCGCCAGCCATTTGAAACATTTTTCCTAAAAGTGACCTTCCCCTCTTTCTGCCGCCAGGCTACGATTTATAGCTCGATAAAAATTATGGCCAACATTTTCGTTTTTTCTCAGATCGGTAGAATCGTACGGGTGTGAATGAATCGAGCAACAACGTACATTCGAATTGACAGGCGATAAAATCTCTCATACCGTTTTAAAGGCTGATAATTGAAAATGTTTCACAACTTCGACACCAGAGACTGTCGCGTGTTATTAAGACTTTGTTGCTTGTATCGACCAGTGCTACGTATATTTTTACATTTAAACGTAACTTTTCAAATACCCTGTATAAACCGACTTCGTAATTAGCCGAATCGAGCACGCGATTTGTCAGTTGAGAAAATTAGAGTGGCGCGTGAACGACGAAAGGGGAAGGATATCGCGTGTCGTCTTGACTCGTTCGTCTCCACGGATCGCAGTTCGAAAAATCGCATTCCCTTCGATGTTTAAAATCCCTGCAATTACGATGGAACGAAACGAACCGCAAACGCGCGAATCGCGTGTCTTGGTCGGAAGCTCTTTGCTTTACAGTGTTTCAATTACAGCACCTTCTTTCCGTTCCACGTAGCCCGATACAGACCGACCAGGATTAATTAAGAGAGACGTAAAACCCTTATCTGTACTGATGGCGCCATTACTCGACGCTATCGCGATTATCCCGCGCAACGAGACACAGGATCGCGGGAAAAATTTCGTTCGCGGAATTCGTTCTATTAGTGCGACGAACCGACATGTAACGAGCTGACCAGACCGCCAACAACTTTCATAATTAATTTCTCGCAATTCCGCGAGATTACGCGCTGTCGAAAATTTAGCGTGGTCTATGAAGTCGAGCTGTGCTCGTTCGTCCCGATATCCTTTCGATTAATCTCCAATCACCGTTCCGTGTTATACGGTATCCTGTCTCTTTCTTATGGCTTAAGAATGGTCGAATGGATCGACCAACTTGTGCAACAATTGCACAGGATCTCTCGATGTTTCTAATCGATCGACATTCACAGCTCGTTAAATAGAACGGTCGCGTGGATAAGAAACTACGTCGTAAGCATAATCGATCGGATAAATGAAAAAAGCCGCGTAAAAGCTTTCAGTGTTTCTCAACAAGATTCGTGACTAGTGTAAAAGAACTTGTCGATGATTAAAAATCCAGAGTATAAGAACGATGAATGGAATGGATTCAGTTCCGAAAAAATTACCTAGGAACTAAATCGATGTGTTTGATCGGCCAACATTGACGGCTAACATGACGGAATCGGTGATTCAATAAAAAAAGCTTGAGCCAAAAAGTTCACGTAGAAAGTAAACGAGAGAAAGGTATATTCGGAAACTAACAAAGAAAAACCTCCAACACGGCTTAGCAATCGAATAAATCTATTCTTGTTGGGTCAGCTCTTGGTCCATTTCGAGATGGACGATCGAAACTCTTGGTGTTTCAGGAAAATGTGAGAATAACGGAGGGATCGAACGAGGAAACTCGGGCTGAGACTCGACGCGGGATACGAAGGGATAAGATTATTTCGTGAAAATAGAAAATCGCCTTCGCTGAAACTCTTTTGTGCCTTTTACTCTCGATGATGACATTACGTTAAACGATGGTGGAAGAAGATTGCGGTGGTAACAGAAAATTGTGATTGTTACAGCTTTCTCGCGAGACGAAAGAGGATCGAAACGAACAACGTTCCAACTATAAGATCGCGTAAATCCAGCGATAAGCGATTCCTTATTCGGCCAGGAACCATCTAAAGTATAGAGAACTTTAATCCGACAATTTTGCACCGAAACTCGACCAAACTCATTATCAGGATTAACATTTCCCGTGATCACAATTTATCTTATCCTGTTCCTTCTCGAACACAGGGAACACCTACTTTAAGCCCACTTTGGACTTGATATCGATTTTCGATTTCGAATCTTCGGCTACAACCGCGAGAAAGAAAAGTTAGTTAATAGCAACGAATCGTTTAAACTATTTATAACTTATTTTATAAATGTATGGCGCACGTCTCTACATTGAGTCGAGACACCGTAACGATTATTGGTTGTTACAATTTCTGGATTCACTGTAGTTAGAATTAGCGACTGCAGGAGAGGATTTCTCAAATGAAATTTTTATTATCTGTGTCGTCGATAGCTCGATTCGTCGTTCCGTCTAACGATTATTGAGAGTTATATATAAAGTTTCGAAGAACCAGACATTTAAAAGAAATTCAGCTAGCCGAAGAAGGGATATCAAATGAAGGAATAAACGAAGAACCTAAATAATATTAATTTTTACGTAGCAAATATTTCAATGAAAGAATAAATGAGACGTCTAAAAATTTGTGAATGTTCTTACGCGCTGAACGTGTATAATCAAGAACGAGACAGCTCTTAACGAGAGAATTTTAGTCATGTCGTTTTCCAACAACATGAAAGGCGCGTTCGCAGCGAAAGGACTTTACGCGTAAGGCACAGAAATAATTTTTACTTCATAAACCTTCGGAAAACAACTGTGACGGTTTAAAGGGCTGTACCAACATCTTTCCTTCGGCTATGCGCGGCGTTTCTGTCCATTCAAAGGAACAGACTCGAAATAAGCACGCGCCTAAGTAACATTACGCGAACAAAAGTAGATTATAATTTCCAGTTGACGTGCATAAAAGCAGACGACGAGCAGTTGCCTCCGCGACACGCCCTTTCTTCACCAACGAATCGCACGGACGTTGCGTAATGAAACCTGCTACCTGTGAAATTACTTTCGCGATGAAACTCGCGGACTATCGCCTGGGTACGTGTAGCCTTTCGTCGTGTATTCTCTTTCTCTCTCATTCATAAATATTAGGATATCTACGCAACGAAACATAACAGTTTAAATTATCGATCGATCGAAATTTTGTATTCGTTGTATGTAATACAAATTATAATATATTATGAAAGTTATACGGAACATTTTGAGATTTCATTAGCGCTGTTATAAAATTCGATGATTATAGACACCGGAAAAGCTTGAAACCAATCTGAAAATCTATGTGGAAATTATAGGATATTTAATACGCGTATATATTTCGCAGAAATCTCAAACATTTTTAAACAGACAATTGTCTATTACATTGCTAATATAGTTTAAGATTTAATATCGCTAATATTGCTTAAGTTATTACTAGAATATTGAACGTATGAATTTTTTCTAGGCAGTCTGAGAAAAGAGATAATAATTCTTAAACGTTTTATAATGTTAAAATAATAATTTCACAATGATTTTACTTAAGCTTTCGTAGGTATCTTAGTACTTATGAATGGAAGTGTACGTATCAGCCGCAACACGATCCGACCTCTACCAGTCTAGACGGAAATATATACATATATATTTTTAACACGGTCTCGACGCCTCCGGGCCGAGGCTGTTTCACGGGTGGCGCATGAATGCCGAATTTGATGGTGCTCGCCCTATACAGAGCCGCTGTTTCATTCAGACGTAAGTCCTGGTTCGTCGTTGAATAACCGATATGACCCGACGAAACCGCTGTTGGCCGCGCCAACTATAAATGTGCCTGAAAATACGAATCTGTCCTGAATAGAAAATATTTCAAGTTGCGAATATTTTAACCCATTGGCTGTATGCAACGCGTAAAAGCGCGCAACGTGAGATGCCTATTCATTTGCCCGCGTGATTGACACGTTTCGTTACTGATCGTTCTTTCGTCAAAGGATTAAACTTTCGTTGCGAACGAAACCATTTCGATTACAATGACGAGCGATGAAGGGCTGGTGACTGTTTCGAATATTGAAAAGAAAATGGAAACCGGCATTGAATAAATGTTACGAAACGCGAAGTGTTATTTACAAAGCATGGACGTCTGTGTGAATTTTTTTACGTGCTTTCTATTATGTCCCTCGATCTGTTCTACCTACCGAATATCGTTATCGCGAATACGCTGCAGCGAATACAGTGGCGTGAGAATATTTTCTTAAACAACTGTGCACCTTGCCTGCAAACCGAAATTACCAAGCATAAATATCCGCGGCCTACCGATATGCATACGATATAGAAGTTGGATAGAAGCGTTCTTGGGAAAAGTTGGGTCATAAAGGTGAGAAACATAGGTTTGGTGGCAGCGCTTTCCTTGCATCGCCAGCGAACTCGGTAGTTCCGCTTTATCCAACGGGGTTTAACTTTAAGACGTCAGAAATGGAATTCCATTCGAGGGAACATCTGTGCTTTCCGTCTGCGCGCAAGTGGTAGCGAATACGTATAGGTGTAGCTCGCGGTCCAAGCGGCGGGAAAAGAAACGAGAGAACTAGCGACTGTCCCTAAGAATATTCGCCCGTAGGATACCTTTGAAAATACCTTGGCTCTGGTTACTCGTTAGTAAAATACCGTCTGCCGTTGATCCCATCTGTTAGAAGCTCATCTAGACGCGATTACGGTAAGCGTGGCGTAAGAGTCACGGCCTGTGATAAAGAGGAACAGCAGGGGTGGCGGAGTCCGAAAAGTCGTGCTTGTGAAAGCGGATGTTGAACTAAGCCTACGCCCGAATAGACCACTTCGTTACTTTCCCCTATACCTAATGCCAACGTGTCGCATAACACGGTAAGGGGGAAAATTTAAATAAGCTTCTTAGGCACATGCGCGAACACACGTAGCAACGTGGCGTGCGCGGTTCAATTTAATTAATACCGTAATTAAAAGGGCATATTAATTGCGCGAATAGCATGGAAACGAGTTAGTTATGAATTGCTACAGCACGAACACCGACGGCGAGCGAGTTGAGACAGTAATGTTCAAAGGGACAAGAAACGTAAAGACTTTACAACAATTATTCATCGCGAAAGAGAGAGAGAGAGAGATAACTTGAACGATAAACAGGTTAACATCGATAAATTACGAGAAAACACATTATCGAATTCGTAGTATACTGTTAAGATAGGAATACGCGACAAAACGGTCGCCTAATTTTATGCGTCGTTTCTCAATGTCAACATGTTCCTCAAGGTATTCAGTTTGCTTACGTCGAGACGAAAGGGGTGACTAGCCGGTTATGCTCAGTGAAACGAACGCGTGTGTATGCACGTATGCATAATATACATAGTAGTGGTATACATATATATAAAGGATCTGGCAGGCCAGTCGCGACTCAATCCATCACTGTCTTGGTTAATTCAGACGAAGAGAGAAGGCATCCGCCACGGTAAGGTTACGAACCATTGATCGCCTTACCGTCCCTTAGTGGACTCCGAACATCATACTTCCTCTTCCATGACAACTCACGTTTAACTGGAAATACCGTAACGATGTGTTATTTATAAACGAAACGAGATCGTTGTGTTCTCATTACGGTTGCTGCTTCATTATGAGAAGTATTAGACGAGTTTGTCAAATTTTATACGCGATGATTAAAACTATCCTCGAAGCAGGATGCAAGTTACAGGACTCGGAACTATAAACGAATGACCAAATGCAAGCGGTTGTTACGCGTTGTATTCAATCGTCTAGGAATTTTAATGGCGCGAGTCGATTCGCTGCCGTTTTTCATAAAATGTAAACTTCTACGTTCGTAAGAAATTCATTGTACTTTTCCAAGCGATGAAAATGTATTACGGCACAGAGTAAAGTTAAGACTTAATTAACCATGAAATTTAATAATACGCGTAACAACTGAAAATCTGCGTTTACAACGCTATGATTGTGGACAAGCTATAAAATTATTTGTTAGACTGAACATTATTTGAAGATTAAACATTGAAGGCTATATCGAATTAAGCGTGTTGGGGATTTTTAAGACTTCGCGTTCTTCTTTCTATTACACACACACATTCTCTCTCTCTCTCTCTCTCTCTCTCTCTCTTTCGAGTCGAGAGAGAGAGAAAGAGACAAAAGTTCTCTGTTATAGGGGTGGACAGGAGTTTGGTCGATCCTATGGAAAATTCCACAGAATTCAAACTGAATATGAAAACCGTTAGCTGCACGGCTATTGTCACAAAACCCCTGAGAAACTTGATGATTTATAACACGTATTTGCTATTACGCGTGAAAAAATGCAAAAAGCTAAAGTACATTTGCAAATCGCACGAATAACCGTTGAAACGCGCAATGCCTGACTGCCGATATCGAAAAGAAAGAAAAACCTAAAATGTCTCTCTGGAAAATGGCAATTTTCCAAACAGTGTCCTAAACCAGTGTAGTCAAAGTGTTCACCTCTGAAAGCCAATTTACATACGAAATTCGCAAAAGTCCGAACACAGTGTGTCCCGTGTAACGAGCCCCGGAAGCTTTCTGACAAAAAACCATACGAGGCCAAGGGAAGTCAATGAAAATGCAGCCGCTTAATGCATCGAATATCTAGAACACGGTACAAGCATTTTCGATTGCACCCGAGAGACAGCTATCCCCGAGCAATCGCGATTCCTAACGGCTGCATTCCAAAAGTGAATTTCGGTCGATTCGAAATAACTCGAGTGTGTTCCATTCAAAACGTTCTACCTTCGGGGAATTGAATAACCCGACCGATAGGAACGGTAGCAAGAAGAATGCGTGTATCGAACGGAAAAATCGAGATACCGACGTCTACCGCTGCGTTCTATTCCGGTATAATTCGTTCGCGATAGAGCGAACAAAAATGTGAATCACGCGAGAACATTGGAAAAGAAAGAACACATAGCCGGCGCACGAGAGAGAGTCGCGTGGGCCGTTTGAAGGCCGCTGTTATCCCTCGCGAGGGAGTGCCTCGTCGACGAGGTACACCAACACGGCATCAAATTTCATAAAACGGCCACGTCAACGGTCGTGTGTAAGCACGTCTTTAAAGTGGGACAACACGGCGCGATTACATCGTCGACGGGGGTGAATATTTTTACAAACGTCTGACCTAAAACCCGACCGTGACTACTGCTCGATTTTGCGCGAAGGGGTAACAGCTGGAAGAAAGAAAGAGATAGAGAATAGAGAGGACAGGAGAAAAAAGATGAAAACATCTTACCCGTACACGGACACGGTTTTATAAAACGTCTGACCTAAAATTCGAGGCGAACTGGATGCTAACGAGACGCGCCAACTCTAGAAAAATGTTTCTGCAAACAGTTGGTGCGTTTAATCGTCGCTCGATCGAGTAAAAAAATTTAATTTATCATCGCGCAATGCGATCAACAGACGACGATCGTCGAAAACGTTGTTATGAAAGTGTCGCGTTGCAAGATGCAATTTCATGGTTTCTATTTTTTTCTCTTTCTCTCTCTCTCTCTCTCTCTGTCTCTTTCTCTTTAAGATTTTCTCGAACACGCCTAGATAACGAACGACCGTTAATTAAGAATAAATTCTTGCCACGGGTGAAGTTGTCGGGTAACAGGCCTGCTCAGGAAAATAGTAGAAGGAAATGATTGCATTAACTGGAAATCAAAAGTTCCGGAGGCACGGTCGTTTACGGGGCGACTTTCGAGCACGATCCACGACTGAAGGTACTTCGCCAGAGATTAAATCATTGCCGTGTCGCAATTAGCTCCCGCGAGTAAATGCATTCAGGCGGTTTAAGTCGTGGCGACGCGACGCAAAGCAAACGGTAACCGTAAAAATCCTGGAAAGGTAATGAAGTCGCAGAAACGAAAGAGGGGAAAAGACGTGTCGGGAGTCACACGTTGATACCGCCGCTGCTTGATGAGGAAGAGAAAGAGACGGTAGTGTTGAATAAAAGGAGGAGGAAAAACAAGGGGTGAAGCCATTTCGCGCCACCCGCTGATTTATGACAGCTCCACGACAACGTCACGCTCGGAACGTACATTTCATCTGGTGCTGTTAAAAACAAAACTTTTCTACCATCCACTGTACGGAATATTTTAAATACGAATACAACAATGCCATGGAATCGGATACGCAAAGAATTCTATCGTGTTGGTTGATATGTTCGTGCCGATTTTTGTGGTACGCTAGGTTCCACTAACCAACCTATGATCTATAGCGAAATATACTGCATGGGAATAACTATATTTAAAATGGAATAACCAAAATAAAATAAGTTTGCATAACGATATTCGGATCTCAACGAAAGTGTAGATTGGTCCAGAGCCAGATCAAGAGTCTAGATTGATTTTACCAAAACCATCCACGTGTTTTGAGTATATTAGGATATTTTAAATAAATTGATCTGTGCGAATTTCGTAGCCAAGATATTCGAGATAACAGATACATACAAGATTACTCGACTTTGTACCATTTCGAGATTTCGAGATTTTAAACTTATTGAGATACGTGTAATTTTGTGTGCTACACTAGATTAGCCGCGTAGTAGTGACACACATATATGAGTATGAGTGTGTGGGAGTATATGCGTGCACAGCGTCTCGTAAAAGAAAGAAGGATACAACTGTTCCGTTGGTAGTATGGAAAGAAAGATGGTGAGACAAAGAAAGTACAAATGCGTATCGACGAATATCTTGTAAATCACACATCAAATAAGTCTGAAACTATTTTGATATCAATTCTAAATGTAATTTAAGTGTTCCTATACATTTATTTCGGCGATAAAGATCCGCAATTCTCAACAAAACTAGCACGTGAATCCTTGTAAGAGAGTCTTAAATTTGGAATATCTCGAGGAATTGAAAGACCTTATTCCAAAAAATCGTCGTTCTCACGACGGTAATGATATGGAACAGCGTGATTCCGTTTGACGCATAGCAACCTCGGAACGATGTATAAAAGGAGTTTTTATGCGAGCTCACGTTCACCCCCATAACCCCTTATCAGACCGAATGAAATATTACGGGTCGTGTTTAATCCTCGGGATCTGATACATCGGTTTAATTTACTCCAAGTAGAATATATTCTTAACCGGTGTATACATTGCGAGCAAGGAGGATAAATACTCTCTTTATTTATGGCCCCCGATATCCCAGTATTTAAAATTCAAAGCGGCATCCTGCCGGGGTCATGGTTTCGTAATACCCTTTTAATTATTTCCAAAGTTCTATCTGATAGCGAATTGAAATGAGAAATTACCATTCACGCCGATTTATTATCACTACACGCACCGAATCGTGCTATCGTCGAGATTCCGTGTTAGAAATGCTATATAGCGTCTGAAACTATCGTTAATTGAATATTTATGGCCAGATGAACGATATAAGTATCGTTTGGGCCAAAATTTATTTAAAATTTCAATTTATTACAATCAAAAACTTTGACTTTTATTTTACCTGCCTTATAGCAAGGTAGAGTTGTTTGGGTCATCTAAGCTCCAACATCTTAAAATTCAGTCTTAACCAATGGAACGAACAAGAAAATGATTTTTTTCAAGAAAAACGTGTACGGTTTCCATTTATTTTCAAACAAATACTCACGGAGATACTCTGTTGTTCTTGTTACAGTTTTGGTCAGCTTACGTGCCATGTTCCTCTCAGCACCTCGACTCGGTCCAACTGGCACTCGAGCAGATCGACCTGATTCGTCGGCTGGTGAACAAGCATCCTGAAAGCATGGTCCTCGTTACCACGGCGGAAGGTGAGGCATTTCGCTTGCAATTCTATGCCTTTGTAACTCCAACCATGGTCATGCATCAACGTAGAACGTCGATTCGACCGGCACGTTTACGCGGCAATCGTTTTAATGCGAGGAAAAAGGGAGAGGTAGATCAAGAGAGAAGTTGATCGACGAACTAAAATCGTGGCCGTGTCGTGTTTCGACGTGGCTGATGACGATCGCGTAGTCAAAGGATCGCTGACAAAATGAGAAACGCGCAAAGTATCGAGTTAAACATTACGCGATCCGCGAAGATAAATTTTCAATCGCGCGGCCGTTCGTTTGGCGACAAGCCAAACCTATTCGACTTTTTTCCCCCCGGACGAATCGTTATCGATTCGCATATCGTTCGTCAAAGAATTTTCACGACGAACACGCGACCTATTTTCTATTTTTTCTTTTTGTTCGACTTGCTGTAACAAAAGAAACGAGCCACCACCGTGACGATTATCGCTACATCGCGGGTAAACCAACATCGACAAACGACCGTGTATCGATCGCACAACGTATTTGTTTGTTCCCTAAACAAGTTTTGTATGCGTACAACCACTCATTAAGCTCTCTTCAGGCTATTAGATAACTGGTTCAAAGCTACCATTAAATCGTCAACCAAAGTAGATGGTGCAGCTGTGGGTCGAACAATACGCGAAACGTTCCGCTGCTGTTACTGCGAGAATTCGCGGTATCACTCTTTAATACGATCGCCGAACTACTTCGTAAGTTAAACACGAAATTATTAATTGCCAATCAGCTCTAATATAATGTAAACACGGGGCACCGCGTACTTACATCTTTCAACGTATCTCTAGCTCCTACTCGAGCAAGCTTAAGTCTTCCGTGAACTTCTCGCGAAACTGGTCGAATTATACGATATACATAATATATTATGTAGTTAGTCAGCCATGAAGTCAACGTTCTCGAGAAGGAAAGCCCATCGTATTCGAAAATCGTCGATCTCCAGAACCCTGCTGGAAAGACCTCTAAAGCTTCACGAGCGAGGAATATGAAATCGAGCTTCGAGGTCGACGAACGTCGAGAATTACCATCCTCTATTTGTTCCGAGAATGGGCCGCTCGACGTTACACACCGCTAGAATTTCTGGCGTGCCGCCAATGTCAGAGGGTGGCTGGCAGAAAAGAATTTACCCGACTTCTCCCTTAAGAAAATCGTCGCGGAATGAATCTTCCGTGGCAGTCGTGTCTCTTCTCCCATTTTAATTAATTCCTCGTCGCGTCCTACGATCAAGCAGTTCGCAAAATGCCGTCCGTGTAACAAATGGACTCGCTTCAAAGAGGAGTTACTTCTCTCGTTCGAACGTGCCCCGGAAAACAATCTATTCGTGCCTCTGTCGGTCGTTGGCGAGAATTTACGCACGTACGATATGAAATGTTCGATCGAGGTCGACGAACGTCCGAAGTCGGCCGTCTTATGTTTGCTTCCGGTTGGCCATTCAACGTCGCGCGCTCTCAGATTCCCTGGAAGAGAGCCAACCGTCCAAGAGGAAACACGGGAGAATCCCTGCTCGTCTACCGACGTAGTGGAAAAGTCGGGCCAGCACTCCCCATTATTATCGTCACCGTGAATACACTTTCGAGAATTTAGGATGCATCTTAAGTTGCGAAAGATGAGGCGTTCCTTCAAGAATGGACCATCGTTGCTCTCGGTGTAACGATCAACTTCCGAGCTACGAGCCACGAGTAACCTATTTCGCGGTGATTTGTCCGTGACGGCGAGGTACAGCGAAATTCCATTGATCTTCTTCCATGGAGAAATTGTTGAGACGAACGAGAATAGTTCGGTGGGCGTCAATCGGGATTCAAGCTGCGCGCCTTTGATACGAGCCTCAATTTCAAGCTCGTTCTCTGCCTCGAACGACGCAAGTAGCTGGTAAATCGAACAGAAACGAGAAAAATGGAACAACCCACGACTGCTAGGCGACACGACGAGACAGTGACATTGACGAAAGTGAGAAGAAGAGAGTAAATAGTGACACACGAAAGGGGACACATTGTGTGCTCAACGTTTGATCATCTAAACTCGATACTTGCTTTATTCGCGGAGGGTAGAACAAGGTCGGAAAAGGGAGCGCGAAGAAGGGAGAGGAAACTCGTTACGCAACGGATGCGGGGAATAATTTTCAAAGAGAAGGAAAGAGGATTTTGATCGATCGATGCATATCAATATCTTTGACGATACGATCTCCGCTCTATAAGATTACGATTACCCTATAACACGCAGGATTATCTTCGTCCTCGATTTTACGCGTTCCCATATAATAATTTGCTCCTGCGTGGTGATACGCGCGTGAGAACATAACGCGGATCTGATGAGAAAACGTCGGACAGCGGAAGAAGATTCAGCCAGTAGTAAATTTCAGTTGGAATGGAAAAATGTCAAGCCATACCGACCGTTCTACCACGTTCGATAAGCCGAACCACGGCGACTGTATGTCGGCATGCACATGCATATGTAAATAGACATGCGATACGTAGCTGTCTATATATACATAAATATATATACTTCACTCGGACGTATAAAGGAACGATTGTTCAAAATTTGCAAGCTGCTTTTTGCTTCTGCAAAAACACGTCCCGTGTTTCCTGACTGATTTATACGACGTACAACATCGACAGAATTTCAACTACCGTCAATACCGATCGTTAAACATGAAACACGAGATAGATCTTTCTCTTTAAATTACGATAAATAAAAGGTCGAAATTGCATAATAATATATTTGCGGTATGCTTATATGAATAAAAATACACATAATGTATTTATAAAAGACGCCCACTGTTTAATCGACCAGTCGCGGAGAGACGCGATCGCGAGCTTCACGTCAACGAGAGTCGTAAATTCCCGTTACGATTAAAATAATCGATCGAACAGATCGATCCCCTATTTCGGTTAGGATAATAGAGGTGGTTGAATGAGTATAACACTGAGTGTAACAGGTTATAATATTATATATTTCCAACAATTTTATATAAAACTAGTTACGCTGGTGCGTATGTATAAGTTAAGTAGGTGACTGATCTAAAGGTGGAAACCCGATGAAGAAACGTTAACTGTTCGAAAGATGGAGAATCAGTGAAGCTCAGTGACGATGCTGTGGCAGAGGAAAGCTAGGGATGGGTGTGTCTAGCGCACGGGACCATCGGATTTGTTGATGACAATTTTGGCTAGAAGAGTAAGGGCAATAGACATTGCTTCTGATTGGATAATAAGAAGGTTGGTGGGCTAGGAAGACTCTTAGCCGCCCCCGAGAGAAAGAGCTAGCGAGAGATACCGAACGTGAGAAAACCCAACTTTCCCGTATCTTCCCTTAGTAGGCAATAAATGTAAGGAACACTTGAAATAAAAGATACTTGTTTGGTCTGAAGGACCTTAACTATGAAAATGCCAAGATTTGTGGTGAGTCCTGAAGGCCATTGAGGGTACGCAGCAAGGATGTGTAGACATCTGACTGCCACCTTGCACGTAGCGTGGGGCCTGGTTTTTGGACAGAGTCACCGGACGTAACACTCGCGTCTGAATGCTTTTTTCAACTTCTCTGTATGCAGACTTCAACGTGAAATCGACGCAACTGCGAAAAACGATTGTACGCAGCGAATCTTAAACAAGACAATGTGTCGCTGTATCTACGACTTATTGGATACGATTGGATGGAACGATATCTGGAAGATCGTATAATTCTAAGAAACAATGGACGACGAGGCAAGTGTGTGTTTATCTGAACCGGTCGTTGCCTCGGAAACTTTCGACGTAAAGCGTACTATCACGCTCGGGACAATAGTTCAAAATGTGCCGGCAGTTCGACGTGGAGAATTTACGAGCGACGAAGACGAACTTGCCGTTCCCGTTTATAATTCTCGCGCGATCGAATCGAATAACCCGTTTCGAAGCCCTTTAAGAGATCGTAAAGCTCTCGAACGCGGAAACGTTTACACCTACGAAGGCGAACTAAGGAATTTATAAACCGATTAGTTGAACGAGATATAAAGCAAAACCACTTTGGCGGCGTGATATACCGCGAGGGGGGAAAATACGTCAAAAATGCGGGAAATGCGAGAATTCGAAGAAAATTGAAAGAATTTCTGACTTCTACGTATACGTTAGACCAAGACGAAGTGTAAACTGGAACGCGTGGTAGTCGGAACGCGAGTTATAAATCAGCGGACGCAGTAAATCGAAGTTCATCGACAGCTTGCAGCTCGCTGCTGGCCATGCCTTTCCTTTCCAGTTATTTTTCCATTAAAAGCTTAATATAGCGTAAGCGCCAGCCACACACCACGAAGGAATTAAAGTTACTCGAGACAAATGGTACGAAACGCTATTAATTTGCCACTAACATTTCCGGGCCAACGGCTGCGGAGAACCGTTCAAAAATAAAATACGACACACGTGCGAACAACATGTTACAAGGTTTGAATAGATTACGCGAAATAGCGAGAAGGGGTTGCTTTATTCGAACAACGAAGATTATGGATTATCGAGTAAATTCGTTTAACCACAGGATCGATCTTCCATTAGCGCGAACCAAGAGCTCTATCGCGTGCGGTCGAAAGCGGAAAAGTTCGAATTCCCCGCGATAAATGACGCTTCGGGGGTGAACATCGCCGGGGGTTGATCCGCCAGCGCCACGAAACGACACACGCTGTATGCGTATATATCGGTATCCCGGAACCGACGACCTAACGCAATTTGTTCGCGGTGTTTTAATCGAATCCGAACGACACCGAGCCCGCGAATCCGATTTCACGGAGCTCGATAGCCCCACCTTTACACGACCGTACTCGATTAAAACGATTAAACCGGCCGGGAATCGAATTCGCGGCGCGCTGACTAAATACTGACAAAATACCGGCCGCAAGGAGGATTTCCCGAGTTGTCCGGCCGTTCTTTGAAAACCGAACGTTCCATTATCCTCCGGTTGGGATTAATCAAGCCCCGTTTACGGCTCGTAATTAATGATCCGACCGATAACGCTCGCCATCCATGATTTAAATGATTCTATTAAGCCAGGATCGAAGGCGACTCGTGACATTAATTAACTTTCAAATGCATCGCTTTCTTCGAATGAAACAGTTTGATCATACGTATGTGTGGCATGCAAAGATAGAAAAATATTTTGTACAATTCGTCCAGTATAATTAAAAACGAGTTACTAATTAACACCAAATGTGTAAAAAAAATGACATTTACATATATGCTACTCCGGTATAAAATACAATGTAGCGCTTAGTATGTAATGTAGCTCATTGAATTACAATACTTTCATCCGTGTCTCACTTTCCTAACTGAAACACTGTATCATAATGGAAAATTGCTCTTGGCTAGACAAATTATTGCTAAATATATAAACCATATGATAATAATAATAATGAACGATAAATGATCATGTATCCGTAACAACTGCGAATAATAACACCGTGCAAATTCAGGATTTGGTCGAACTGGTCAAAATTCTCAGTCCTTTCAATCGATCTAATTTATCGAAAATTTGCTCAATGGAATTTAAACCAGATGCTTGTCAAAAGCAATACAAATTCCTGTTATGTATTTTCAATCGTCCGCTTATATATGTACAGAACACAAATTCAATACTTGATAAATTCCTTTTTTAGATATTACATTCTGCTCGCGTTTCCTAATTTTTCCGAAGATATCAATAATCTTCAAAAATTGTAATCCTCCAAATTCAAATACATAACGCGATAAGTGTAACGTATCGTCTACGTCGGAAGATACAGATATCTCGCTAAATGGCAACGCTATCCACTTAAAGGTTAATCGTACAAATGCATCTGCCACGACTTTATCATCATCAGACTAAAATTTATATACATACATTACCGTGAGAGATCCTAAACGTATCTAAGGGGAGACGCGAAAACGAGTTCGTAATAATTAGCGAAATGATGGTAGTTGGGAAGATTGGCGATAAAGGTGGAAGTTGGAGAATGCCTGGTATCTACATAAGGATAATTACAACAATAATAATAATGACAATCGAGGACATTCAAGGGAGATTTAACGTGTGCTTTCAGGTATAGAGAGAGCGCACAAGGAGGGTAGATTAGCAAGCCTGATAGGGGTCGAAGGGGGTCACGCGGTTGGAGCGAGCCTGGCAGTTCTCAGGATGTTGTACGAGTTGGGCGCCAGATACCTCACACTCACTCATACTTGTAACACGCCTTGGTGAGTTTACCAATTGAGACAATCTACGATTATATTAGATATAATATTTCGTTGAATTCTAATACAGGAGCTTCGAACGAAAATAGCTTAAAATTAGATAATCATTCATGGTCGGGCTAACCGATGTTCGTGATTGTCGCGTGCCGTTCAATGCGTAATCGTATATAAAGAGCTTTGGCGAGGATAATTCATCATAATGCATTATCGTTCGCACATCAATCATCGTGTTTCTCCGTAACAATTTATCGAGGGAGATATTGGTAGATCGTGACGCGTTTCGCATATGAGAACTTATGGGAAAACAAGTAACGCGTTATCAAAATGAAAATAGAGACACCACCAAATAGATATTAGATGGTAACGTATGAAATGTAGCTTATCTTTGATTAAAATAAATATGCTTCTGTTTTTCGTTAAGCTCAATTTATCGATTAAAGCTTGGTTAAAGCAAAACTGTTACTATTTTATATGACGTGAAATAAAATTTTCGAAATTAGTATCGCTGCAAGAATATTTAGAAAATCGACGACGAGTAGTATTTAGTTAGCTGGTAGCTGTTTTCTAAAAAAATATATTAACATTACGTACGAACTTTCCGGTAGAATATCCGACTTTAAATTCATAACGAGAAATGATTCAGATTTTGTGCGTATTCATTGTACCATTGGAAAGAGAATACGGAAAAACTACCAACAGTGTTTTATGTAAAAATTAGAATACGAAAGTAAAGAACATGGATAAACGCTCAATTTTATATAATCTACACTACAGACAAACAATATGCTACTTATTAAGATTCTAATTAAAGCGTTCAGCACATTTCATATGTTACAATCAATGTGTATAATAATACGTTCGCTTCTAAAATATAGACTCACAGTCGTATAGCTACGTGTTACAAACGTTCAATAAATAACAGAATAAAAGCGAGACACAAAATACAAGCGCGAGACATTCGCAACAAACGTTTCCCACGCACTATAAATTTTAAATTTCTAAATTTCAAACGACTATCAAATCGTTCCACAAGTAATCTCCTATTTTGCACCTTGAATTTGTATACTTATTATATATTTTTCTCCCATAATCGTCATATATTACACGACGTTACCTATGGAGCGGTCTAATACGTTTAAATTTCAAAAAATTCAAACTTCAAAAAATATATCGAACAACATACAGCTACTGTGGAGAATTGCAGAATCTTGGAAATCTTCAATGGATCGGAAGTTGCATTTGGGGCATGTCTCGAGCACAATACGTTCTACGTTCGGAAGCGTATCGATATTTTCCGCGGGTGGAACTGTTTCGACGACACCGTCGAACATCGAGGCAACTGTTTTAGTTTCAAGTTCGCGATGCGGCGAGGAGATTCGGAATTACGTAAGGTTTGCGAATAGCGCGACCCAGCTGCCGGCATTGTCGGGCGTGTATAGAAATATTATTCTAGAACAAACAATGGACGAATTCCCTTTTACGAGGCGACACCCATCGCACCGACTATGTCGTCCGCCGAGAAAAACGAACGACAACGCGGAAAACTGGGCGGGAAACAATAAAAAGTCTCGAACGAACCGACGGCTTTTGCGAGAGACACGTCGCCCTGGTTACCCCGGAATAAAGTACGAATTTTATTTTATACCTGAGTATACGGGGTGTAAAATTAAAATTGCTATCTGATAGCATGAAAAATGCAGCGGAGAACATAATTGAACCAATAGCTACACTGGATCGTAAAAATATTCCTACGCTTATAAATATCTACGAATATATTATGTGAAATTTTACGTGAAATTGAATTGAAATTTTATTGCCACTGTTATGGGACTCGACTGTTACGATTATATTGGTGAAACTCGGAACAAATCTACAAATATTTATACACGTGTAGAAATTACAAGATGTACTCGTGTTTGTTATAATTCAAAAATTTATTTCTTTGGTATAGTTCCTATAAAGCTTAACATTGGTGGCAAGAAAAGATGACTTACGAAAGATCTATTTTATTATGTTCTTCACCGTAAAGCTTACAACATATAAATCGTCCATTTTCTACGGTTCAAATAATTGTACTTTTACTTTATCGTTACAATCGACACATATTGGCTTTCCAGATACGATATTTTGAATATCGTATTCATCAGTATCCTGGATTTTACAAAATTTTCTCACATTCGTATCGTTCTATATTAATATCGTGTATATTAATATGTGCAATTTCGGTGAGAGAATAACTACACGAACTTACACTCATAGGCGAAAATGACTCGAGTTTTGTGTGCGTTGATTGTGGCATTGCAGACAGAATACCGACGGATTTCCACCACTATTTCAAACAAAAGATACACGAGGAAAACGAACATAAATCAACATTCAATCGTGTAAAAACAATACCACAGACCAGCGACACATTTCTTGATGAAATCTACCAGGAAAATCCAACATTTCAAACGGACATTTCATATGTTGAAACATCATATTTTATTTTAAAAAATTCCAGTAGTTGAATTTAACACGTTCATTGCTATCGTCTATTAATAATTTTGACAATGCTGCTAACACAATGCTTGCGTTTCTTCTGTAATAACAGTTGTTCTTTCTTCCTCCTGCTTAAGAAAAAAATACTCTTCGGTGATACGATAAATTCTGACGATTTGATTTTTCACAACCGTTTGACCAAATAGCGTAATTAATAGACAAACCAAATGCAAAAGGATTCCTACTAAAAGATACATGTACATCGATCCTGAGAAAAGAAACAAAACTGCAATTGCAGCAAAAGTGTTAGTACGGAATATCAAATTATTACATTTAATCCTCTCTTAGTACATTTATTATACGTTCTTTATTCTCAAATACGACATCGTAGAACAAACGACGGTTAATACGAAACTTTCAGACGTCTATTATGTCGGTTAATAAACAGCGCGGGGTATGGCAAGTATACAGAACTTTTACCGCTTTTAATAGGGAACGGGTTTAATAGTGGAACAAACTTTGCAACAAACTCGTGACACATAACAGGACATTGTAATTCGACGGGCTTAAAAGGGAAACACCAGAACGCAATACAACAACACACAATCACGCCACAGTTAAAAATCTGAGGAACGCGGGCTTGATGATCGACGATCCTCTCTTTCGACCGTGAAATTTATAACATTGGCAAAGCCGATCCAATCTTTATTTATACGCTGCATTACGTAACTGGCGGGACGATGAATCATGCGCGGATTAATGGAACCGTAACAATATTATCTGCGTTTCGGAATTTCCGGTATCGACCGGGCGCGTTTTACAACTCCAATAGATTCCACCGACACCAGATAAATATCTATACGAGGAGACGTTTCGGCTAATGGCGAGCTGAAGTAGGAATGACCAGTATATTGGTACGTGAACTTACCATCTCTCTATTTGACGGCTCTAATGGTGGAAATTGGTTCATAGCCTCAGCTTCTCTCGTACAATCACGAGGATAGGATACACGAATTTTCGTTATTAGTCGGAGCTATTAAATCTACGTAATGTAGCATTTTATTATAACGCAACGAAGAAATCAAAGGCGGAATATCGAAACCAGTTGTACGATCCTAGCAGACACTCTCCACTCTAAAAGTCGGATCTATACAATGCCTCTTTTGTTATATATGTAAATACCTCAAAGACATTGACATTGATCATACACTCTCGTTTTCACATTACTATTTCGCTTCGTATTGCTATTTCGCTGTAATTATATAGATATAGGTATCATCAGACACAAGGTCAATACTGTGTTAATAATAGATCACGTATAGGTATCAGTTACAGCTGCGTGATTAGCAGCAATGCTTTTGAATTAATTACAGAGAGGGTCATGCTCTACCAAAGGATAATTGGTTCATTTAGTCCGAATACACACCGGTTGTCCGTAGAATATAAACGGTCTTCATTCGCGTGATCACATGGAAAATTTTTATTTCGAGCTCTGCTCTTATTCTTGCCATTCGTTTCGCTCAAATTCTGTACTCGGTGCTATACTGGGTATATGCTACATAGAAGGAGACCATTGAGTACGTATCAGATTTTAATCTATCTGGAACAAGTAGAAAATTCCGTTCTGTCCAGCCATATGTCGACGTCGAGCGACCGAGACCATATATTCCCACTTATGCATATATTTGGTCACAGCAAGTAGAAGATCCCATCCTAGTCAGCCACGCATCGAAGCCAAGTGCCCACCACTCGCGCATCTATCCGAAGCAAGTAGAAAATCCCATCATAGCTGGCTACGCATCGAGACCAATTCCCTGTCACTCGCATATCTATGTATTCGAAGCAAGTAGAAAATCCCATTTTAGTTAAGAAACATCGAGACCAAATTAGTGAACCACAAGTAGTGGACAACTATCCGTTGCTCGTATCTGTCTGAAATAAATAGAAAATACCATCCTAATCAGTTACATGGAGAGCAAATGATTGAAATTTCAACCACTCACGTATCAATTCTGGTTATTCCGAACATGCATAGCCCAGTTAAATGACCAAGTATCGGCCATCGTCTTTCCATTCGCTAATTATCAAAGGAAAATGCAAAGTATCCGACCTGGGATTCAGAACTCTATGCGTTCGAAATCGATCGCATTCGTCGTTTACTCGTCGTTTACTCGTCGTTTACTCGTCGTTCCTCCGGCGATCGATTATCGTGTCAGTTAGCATCGCGAATATCGTATCATCGTTCCGTTTGCCAGCTTAGAGAACATGGCGCTAATACAGACGATTATCGTCCCGAAATTACTCAGACTCCTCGAAACCCGTTCCTGGTAGTCCGCGCCTACCACGACTCCCTGTAATCCTATCAACGTGAGAGATGTTTACGAATCCGTCCACAGACGTTATCGTTCCCCGCTAAATTCGTCTAGATAATGGTAATTAATCCTCTGTGGACAGAGATTTATCGTTCGTACGGTATTTCACGGCTTCGAATTATTTTCCGGCTTAAGGCACGTTTCAATCACAGGGTAGCCGGACATTCGCGAGGTATTCGTGCTTCAAATCAAGACGTTTGTATACGGGACTGGCACAATCTCCGTAGTCATTAGTTCGACGAACAATTCTAGTCGCGTTGCTTGGTATTACGAACGTGAAACTCTATGATTAGAGGGCATTGTACGACAATAATGCTGAGGATTGTTGCCATTGAGTTACTGACCTATTGGTTCGTTAGGGCAGAATGCAGCACAGCGGATGAACCCGGTCAAGTGGCACGCATCGGTGGTCTCTCCAATTTTGGCAAGGTGAGTAGAAAGAAACTTTTGTTCCTTCTGTGATCGAAAACCATTGCTCCGATGTCCCTTTGATAGCCGTATAACGAGCATCCACAAACGCGTTGAACGTGTATCGTAACGTGTGTACGCGTGTAGTACGTCAATCGTGGAACGTCAAGACCGACGTGTTGTACGGCAGAAAATTCAAAAGACGATCGATCTTATCCGATATCTGGAATATCGATTAAACAAAAAGAACAGTCAGTCGTTTTAGGAACTTTGAATCGAACGGTGGATCTGTCCGAAACGAATATCCCAACTTATTTGAATGAAATTTTCATCACTGTGTGATTAAATGATAAAGCGTGCAACTAAACTCACGTGTGATTCTGAGCAAGATAAGTGGCTGAGTTTTTGCTGGAGGCACAGCGTTCGTCCTAACTGGCAGGATTTTCTACCGTGACGAGGGAACTCGCGCTGTTTTGCGCACCGGATTAAAACATCCGGCAAATGTCTATCTCTCTAGCTACGCGTTACTTCGCCAAATGACACTTTCTTCAGCGGCAAAATAGTTGTGCGGCGAGCTCGATCGTAAATCCATGTCAATCGGATCGATGAACCATAAACATGGAGAAATTCAATGAAAATTTAACCGATAAATCGATTCGCGAAGAAAACCTTCGAAATATTGGAAGTCCTTAAAAATGATGAAAAAGAGGTGGAGTTACGTAAGATAGCTGATCTCTGAAATTCGCAAGGAAGTTTGAAACGCGAGTTATTTATGAAAATTACCCGTTGGCATTCGTGGTATTCGCGTCGAAGTATTCATGAATTCCCGAGTGAACGTTACCCTTATACGAAAGAAAATTATGGGCAGCATCGATCAGGCGTAGGGAACAATCGGTCGCGTTTTAAGCGCGCATACTTCGAATCGTAAAGCTCTATTTTCATAGTTCACACATTCCATGCAAAGATTATAGAAGAAAAACACGATAAGTATATTTTTGTCGATTTCTGCTGATTTTCTGATTTTAACGTCGTTTTATGATTAAACAAGAAGATTTTCGCCATGCTCAAAGATGCGAATTCCCTCAAAATAGCTGATACGCTGACAAAATTTTATGGAAATCGAGTAACTATCAAACCAAACAACATCCTGAAAATTTTGAATGGATGAAAAAACGCATACTTTATTCCACGGTCAAATAAAAGGACGATGTGACATTGATTGACAATGTACTAAATTTGAAAACTGTTTCTCTGTAAAAAAGAAAAAATAGGAAATACGATTTACCCTCCAAGTTCGTAAAATTTCCCTCGATTCTTCGACCAAACAAAAAAAATATAATGAAAATAGACGTCGATTCCTTTTGTGCGACAAGAAGATAGAAAGCAAATTTCTTTCGGCACAAGATAAAAGTCACGCGAATTTTCTAAAAGTGCGTGCGTTTGAAACTTTAAGACAGATAACCGTGTACTTTCGTAGGCGTCCTGCGTATTTAAAAATGCCTGAAAGATAATTTCGAGTGGTATCGCTTCGTGACATCGTTCTTTAGAGTCAGACCTGCGAGAAGGACTGCTTTAGCGTTCGAGAGGTGTAATTCCGCTGTCGTGAAGCGTCGTCTAAACTTCGCGCAGCCGTCGTTCCGTTTGACAACATTAATTTCGAAACGATTAAAGCGATACACTCAAGTTTAACTCGACTGTGTTTTTTCTTTGGCAAAGTCAGGTACACTCCGGCCACGTTACAAGAGCTCGCCACCGTGTTCTATTTGGCGAATGTTAGAAAAACGGCAGACAGCCTCGAGAGATGTTTTCCAACGGCAAGGGAGATATATGAGAAACGACTTTAGGATTCTGACCGCGATATAAACCAGAAGCATGAGCCGCGGGCAAGAACCGAAAGATCGGGATAAAATATTATCCCCGTGTTAAGCGGCGTGTTCGTGGTGCTTAGTCGATTGTCATTCTGATCTAATTATTTTCGCCGGACTTTACGTTTTTCACCGAGCGAGACGCCATTCCGCGAGATGAAACCACGCGAATTGCGTTCGTGTTATATGGGGAAAATTCGGTGTGTCACGCTGTTATTGCAATTACTTTCTGCGTAACCGCTGAGACAAAAACTAACGTTCCTCCGGAGCATTTCTTGAAAGAAAAGGATAAAAAACAGAGAGTAAAATAGCGAAAGAGGATGGTGTACAGAGGGAAAAAGAGAAATGTATGACAAACGACTTGGAAACTGTGGTCGTGACTTAAGTCAACGAAAAGTTCTACGGTCGAGATGAACAGAAAGAAGAAGATAAAAGAGGAAAAATGGTCGTTTAAATATTCAATGAAGACCGCTTACGTTTTCCCGCGATCGTTTTAGCCTCGTTAAGCTTCAGTATCCAGTCGAAATGTTTGTTTCGGTCGCGTAACAGCTATTCGTTTGACTCGATCATCCTTTCATGCTGGTCGCCCTTTCTTCTCCTTTCGAAAATTTCTCGCGATCCAGCCAGACTTCGTTCTACGCTCTCATTCAGGGGGAAGAAAAACGAGTCAACACACGAATATCCGACAAACACTGTTCAGAGATTTGTTCCGCGCTTCTCTCGTTTCTCCCATCCACGGAAAATCGTGGTACAGAGTCCATTTTAAGTTTCCACCGCGAAATTTCGGGTACTCCGCCCCGTGATTGTCCTCGGCTGTTTTTGTTCTTTTCTTCTCCGCCATCTCGTTCGGTAAGTTTTGCCGCACTATCCATGAAACTTCCTGTCTATTTGCGCGGAGAAAAGAACAAGTCAGCCGACTAACATCGAGTTCTCGTTTTAGCCCCAGACACAGGAGTATAGCCTATACTTTTTAGAATACGAACGTTTCCCTTCTTTGCTTTTTCAAATTACTCGGCAGATTGAAGATGGACAAATATTCTGAAAAAGTATCCTAAGAAAGTATCGTAATTTTAGACAAACGTGGAAGGGTGAATAATTCCCTTGAGAGACTCGTGTTGCATGTAATGGCGAGCTATATAGATTTTTACTACGGTGTATTTTTCGAAACATTTTATTATTCGATAGCTCGTATTAAAAGCATTACGAATTTCTCGAATAATCCAATAGTTGATCGCGTTGAATCGTTCGTATAATGAAATAGCCGAAATTTGTAAAAACTTGTATTAAAAAAATCTTTTATTGATCATATAACCATATCCAATCAATAAATTACCTGTTATTTGCCCCATTTAATTATTGAATAACACGTTTAAAGAACTTAGTTTCATCAAAATGTACGAAGTAACGCTTGGGAGCGCTATACCTGTTATCTCGCGAAATAAATGAAATCCCTACGAACGTATTAAACACGGTTTGCATGAATTCTCTAGAATATGCGTATGCATATCACGTATATATAAATATATAAATAAATATATATATATACCATATGTATATGTCTAACCCTTAAAAGAATCAGCTTTTTTTCCACTCAGCCTCATCTGTGCACCGAGACGTTTTATATACGATCCTCCACTTTTCTTTTATACCTCATTCAGCGGCTACACCATTTCTCACCCACACCTGCGTAATAAACAGCTCCCTCAAGCACTCAATAAAAATTCCACACGGTCACGCCAGAAAAAGAAGAGATATAGTCTGACGGGTACTTTTTTCCAGTTACTTCTTTCCCGTTCGCCGTTTTCATTCCACGATACGTGCTCTGTCTCTTTAATATCGAGCCCCCTTCTGGAATTGTAGCACCGCTTCCCACCAACCCTCTGTCAATATCGCAATTTTGAAACAGTACCTTTCTACGATCACTTGGCAGAAGACACCACTCGGCTCTCACGGGAGGAATCCGAAAACTCGACGCGTGTTTCTACCATTTTATCCCCCTCTATTTTCATTCGCCGTGTCTGCCGCGAACGAGACCACGAAATACCTGGAATACTCGGGCAAAAACGATACGGTTGAAAGATGGGGGCAAGGAGATTGAAATAAAGGAGAACGTACGACGCCGGAAAGTGAAGAAATATAGCCCTGTTGAAAGGGTGCTCGACGTGCCCAGCGAAACCCATTCCATCCGTGAAAGCAGCTCCTCGATAATTCTGAAAAATTTCTGCTTTTGTTCATCGCCCCTTCGCGCTTATCGCGTTATCGCCCCTATAAACGGTGCCGCTATATTCGATCCTAATATCCGTACATTTCGATCAACGTGAATAATTACTAATCGAATAGTAAAAATCATTATTCGAATACATAGAAATATGGTAATCGGCTTCAACTGCACGGAAATAGTTCATAGAAATTTTGAAACATAGGCTACTGTACGTTTATTAAATTACGATAGAGTAATAATAAAGTCAGAAGATAGATTCAGACACAGCGATACGTTTATGTCATTTGATCAGTTAGCTGCGTTCGACGTGTATACGCGTCAATCGAAAAATCTACTTCGCTGCGGTTGACGTGTACGCTCCTCGTGTGAAATAAAAGATTATCGTTTACTATAAAAATTCAAAATTTTAGTAAAATGTAATAATTAAAAATAACGAATGACATTTACTATTATGCTTCCTTTATACTTTCAGTAAACCTACTACGTATTTTATAAAAAAAACAGTTTGATATTTAGTATTATAGATGTATAGTATTTGATTATTCTCTTTGGTATATCGGTTATGCTCCATATAACGTATGGCTTTTTATAAATTAAGTTGATTATTTTCCTCAGTGCAACCCCGTTTGTGTACTTTACTGCGTATATCGGCCGAATTGTTTTGTGCACTTTACTTTATTATTTTTTGGAACTTTTTAGGTTTCCAATAACAATACCCTTTCCAACGATGAATTTTTAATTTTTCATCGAGTAAAAATGTAATACCTTCCCGTTTTGCTTTACTTTGTTCGTAAAATGTATAATACGCTTCTCCGCAGTTAACAGGTTAATCGCATCAAAATTTGTTCTAATGTAATAACTAACAGCAGTTGTCTTCATTTTGGGTTCGTTGTAGTTTTATTTCTACGAACCTTTCTTCTATTAGCTTTGTTTAA